CCCCCGGGGGACCCTCCCGACCCCCTGTTCCCCCCCCTCCATTACCTCAGGAACAGGCCTCAGCCTCAATTTACTGCTTTAATTCCGCTTGAATGGGAATTATCTGGCGTTTCCAGGCTTCCCCTCACATAATCCCTCAGGTTTTGGCGCCCTTTAAAGCACCACATCGCACCTTGGCCCGAGCGTGCTCTTATTTCTATTAACCTGGGAGGGAATGGTGTATATTCTGCTGTTAAAGGGGTGGTTTATTCTTGGATTTCTTGAGGAAAACGGTTTGTTCTGGGATTTGGGGTGAGGAAAACGTTTTTTTTTTTTTTTTTTTTCCTGGGCCTTGGGGAGAAAACAGTTTATTCTTGGGTTTTGGTGAGGAAAACGGTTTATTCCTGGGGTTTGGGTGAGGAAAACGGTTTATTCCTGGGGTTTGGGTGAGGAAAACGGTTTATTCTTGGGGTTTGGGAGAGGAAAATGGTTTATTCTTGGGTTTTCCTCTTTGGCAGGATTTAAGGCACAGTGGGTTTTCTTGTATTCCATGTGGAAAGAGGTCTTTAAAAAAAAAAAAGTCCAATAAAACTGAGGTCCTGAAAATGAAATATTGAATAGGGGGGGTTGGGACACAAAATGTTATTCTTTAATTCTATCCTTTGAAAATAATGGAATTTCCAGCCTTTGCTCCACCTTAAAAAAGGTCATCAGTGAGTGTCTCCCCCGTGTCTCCGAGGGGGGTGAGCCAGGAGAGAGAAATACACGGGAAATTAGGCACCTTGCCAGACCCAAGTGGATGGAGCTTGAGGAGACACGTGGGATTTTTTGGGGGGTTACTCCATTTTGAGAGCAGACCTTCAGCCCCAGCAAACGAGCGTTGCCCAGAAGGGGTGCAGCAGGATTTGGATCAGGTCTCTGAGGCATTTTCCTGCCCACTAAGGTTAAAAAATAAGACTGGAAGGGAGATGGCTCCTGTAGGAAGCTGCCACCATGAGCCCAAACAGAAGGGAAGCTCCCCCATTAAGGGATTTTTTTTTTCTTCAACACAAGCAGTGATTTATTTTTTCCTAATACTTTAAAAAAAACGAGCTCTCTTGATGTTTATCTCCAGTGAAGTCCCCCGTAACACTGAGCTCTCTGAAGCCTTTCTCCTCGAGCTCTGCCTACGTTTTTCCTCCCAACCCACCCCTTTGTTGTTCTTACGAGCAGCTGCATTTGTGCTTCCTGCCACAATGTGCTTCTACTTCCCTTAATCGTGTCTGCTCAATTCCTCTTCTCTCCACTTCAAACTTTGAAGAAACCTCTACCAGGTGGCCATAGTGGAGACTTTTTTCCTTTCTAAATTTCCTCTGCAATCTAGAAATGGGCACGTTTTCTCCACCTGCAGGACAAAGTTTCTATATTCACCCCATTCGTCCCTCTGTTCTGCCCTAGTGAGGCCCCATCTGGAGCACTGGGACCAGTTCTGGGCTCCCCAGTTCAAGAAGGACAGGGAACTGCTGGAGAGGGGACAGTAGAGGCCACAAAGATAATTAGGGTCCAGGAGCATCTCCCTTAAGAGGAAAGGCTGAGGGACTTGGGTCTTTTTAGCCTGGAGAAAAGAAAACTGAGGGGGGATCTGATTAACACCTATAAATACTGAAAGGGTGGGTGTCAGGAGGATGGGGCCAGTCTTTTTTCAGTGGTGGCCAGTGACAGGACAAGAGGAAATGGGCACGAACTTGAACCTAAGAAGTTCCACCTAAATAGGAGGAACTTCTTTCCTGTGAGGGTGGCAGAGCCCTGGAAGAGGCTGCCCAGGGAGGTGGTGGAGTCTCCTTCTCTGGAGATATTCCCAACCCGCCTGGACACATTCCTGTGCAACCTGCTCTAGGAGGACCTGCTTTGGCAGGAGGCTTAGATGATCTCCAGAGGTCCCTTCCAACCCCATATCATTCTGTGATTCTCTGGCTCTGTGATTTTTACGTCGTAACGAAGTGGCTGGGTCCTGGCTGTGCATGGTATCGTCAAAAGTGAGATGCGAAGGGGTAAAATGCCTGAGAATTTAACTAGAATTTAAGCACAAAAATGTACTTCCTATTCCAGATATTTGAATTCCTTTTAATATATCTGTGTTGAAAGATGGTGATCTTTAGTCCCTCAGCATAAGTAATGTGGTAGGTGCTGTGCTTTGCGTATGTTTTGACTATTAATGTGCTTTAAGGCGACGTGGAAGAGCTCTGATTGCAGGCTAGAGCTCCCTTTTTAGAGACTTTTTAAAAGGCAGAATTTAGCCTTTGCCCCACTCCTGCATGTAAAAGATGAAAAGAAAGCAGGAGGTGGAATTTAATGAGGCTGTTCTGGTTGGAGAGAACAGGACAGACGAGATGCTGCTCTCTGCAGCCTCTTACTGGGAGGGTTTGGTAGAGAAGATGGAGCCAGACTCGTCCCACAGATGCACAGTGAGGAGACAAGAGGCGACGGGGACAAGCAGGAACATGGAGAAACCTTGGTTAGATGGAATTTTTTCTTTTCCACCATGAAGGTGATCACACACCATGTCCCTGCTAGATGCTCTTTAAAGTCCCTTGCAACCCAAACCATTCTATGAAACACTGGAACAAGGGACCAGGGCGGTTGTGGGATCACTCTCCTTGGAGATGCCCAAAACTCAACCTTTGAGCAACCTCCTCTGAGCAGAGCACGGGGTTGGGCTGGAGACCTCTTCCAACCTGAATTTGGGGGCTGACCTGCTGGAGAGCAGCTCTGAGGAAAAAGACCTTGGAGTCCTGGTGGACAACAGGATGCCCATGAACCAGCAATGGGCCCTTGTGGCCAAGAAGGCCAATGGCATCCTGGGGGACATCAGGAAGAGTGTGACCAGCAGGTGGAGGGAGGTCATCCTGCCCCTCTGCTCTGCCCTGGGGAGGCCCCATCTGGAGCACTGGGTCCAATTCTGGGCTCAGGCCACAAAGATGCTGACGGGCCTGGAACATCTCTCTGATGAGGAAAGGCTGAGGGACTTGGGCTTATTTTAGTCTGGAGAAGAGAAGACTTAGGGGGGATCTGCTCAATGCTTAGAAATACTGAAAGGGTGGGTGTCAGGAGGATGGGGCCAGGCTTTTTTCAGTGGTGCCCAGTGACAGGACAAGAGGAAATGGGCACAAACTTGAATGTAAGAAGTTCCACCTAAACATGAGGAGGAACTTATTTCCTTTGAGGGTGGCAGAGCCCTGGAACGGGCTGCCCAGAGAGGTGGTGGAGTCTCCTTCTCTGGAGACATTCCAAACCCGCCTGGACACGTTCCTGTGCGACCTGCTCTGGGTGGACCTGCTTTGTCAGGGGTTTGGACTAGATGATTTAAGAGAAGACTTGGGGGGGATCTGCTCAATGCTTAGAAATACTTAAAGGGGGGGCATCAGGAGGATGGGGCCAGTCTTTTTTCAGTGGTGCCCAGTGACAGGACAAGAGGAAATGGGCACAAACTTGAATGTAAGAAGTTCCACCTAAACATGAGGAGGAACTTATTTCCTTTGAGGGTGTCAGAGCCCTGGAACGGGCTGCCCAGAGAGGTGGTGGAGTCTCCTTCTCTGGAGACATTCCAAACCCGCCTGGACACGTTCCTGTGCGACCTGCTCTGGGTGGACCTGCTTTGGCAGGGGGTTGGACTAGATGATCTCCAGAGGTCCCTTCCAACCCCATATCATTGATTCTGTGAATTCTTTGGAGATTTTGCGATACCGTGCACGTGTCTTCAGTGGCTTTGGAGGTTTTGCGATACCGTGCACGTGTCTTCAGTGGTGTGACTCTCTCCTTTCTCAGGACCCAGGAGAATGACGATGACCAGCCTCCTGCCTTCAGCAGGGGAGGGAAACTGCTATTACATCCTGACGGAAGGTTTTCCTTATGGCAGCAAGTACTTCCAAGCTGGGAACATGTGTTTCTGCAGCGAGAGGAGTTACCTGCGCAACTTCTTCGACGACAGGCCCCCTGCTTGCTTCTTGAAGGTCATCATGTTGGACGACAGCTCCACCGTCACCATAAACGTCGAAATCCTGCAGCCCGTGCGCGAGGAGATGGCCGTCTTCCTCCTGGCCCTCAGCAGCCACAATGAACGCTTGAATTATTTCTTGGAGAGGCCGAGGCTCGAAGCAGCTCTGAGGGCCGTGCCAGGCCAAAAAGTGATGGTGGAGATCAACCAGCAATATTTTCCTGGGATCATCCGTTACATCGGGAGCGTTCACAAAAACGCTCCGGCTGTTTTGTCTCCATTCTTCTTCGGGGTGGAATTACAGGTAAAATGGCCAAGAAATTAAGTCGCTTCTTTTTCCCCCTTCACATTTGTGGATGGTACTCAATGGCTCAAAGTCCAGATGGAGACCAGTCACAAGTGGTGTTCCTCAAGGGTCCGTGCTGGGGCCGGTGCTGTTTAACATTTTTATCAATGATATAGACAGGGAGATTAAAGGCACCATCAGCAAGTTTGCGGACGATACCAAGCTGTGTGGTGTTGTCCATACACCAGAGGGACGGGATGTCATCCAAAAGGACCTGGACAGGCTGGAGAGCTGGGCCCAGGTGAACCTCATGAGGTTCAACAAGAGCAAATGCAAGGTTCTGCACCTGGGCCGGAACAATCCTCACCACCAATACAAACTGGGGGGTGAGGGATTGGAAAGCAGCCCTGAGGAAAGGGACTTGGGGGTGCTGGTGGAGGAGAAGCTGGACATGAGCAGGCAGTGGGCAGCTGCAGCCCAGAAGGTCAATCCCATCCTGGGCTGCATCAAAAGAAGCGTTGCCAGCAGGTCCAGAGAGGTGATTCTGCCACTTTACTCTGCTCTGGTGAGACCTCACCTGGAGTATTGTGTGCAGGTCTCGAGCCCTCAATATAAGAAGGACAGGGCACTGATGGATAGGGTCCAGAGCAGGGCCCCAAGGATCATCAGGGG